CATAACCAGAATGATCATATCTAAGGAGTCCGACACTGGGGGAGACTATCACTGCATTCACAATGCCTTCTTCCTCTTCACTCTTCCTCCCAAAATGTTTATGTAAGTTGAAAAGTGGTGTAACCAAATACCAGTGGTGAACAGGAGACATCCAAAAGAATAACTGTTAAGAGGAAAAAGTGGAAGGAGCAGGACATTGTTGGTAATGGTGCCAGGCAACCAACCTCCTTGCTTATATCTATTTAAAAACTGTTACCATGAACAACTCACTTCTCTCCAGGACTTACTTTTCTCATCTGCAAGATGAGAGCGTGGACTAGAGGGTCCCTAAAGTTCCTTTCAAGGCTGACATTCCGGCACCAACTCAACACATTGTATCACTCCCTCACTTCTTCTCCCAGAATCACACACAGCTCCAGCTGCTTCAACCCCACAGAAGTGAAATTTGTCAAAATGTTGAGAATATGGTTATTTTTCGTAAAGATCACTCTGATAAAGAGAACAATACCAGGGCCTATTGCTCTCATCAATACCCAAGCAACTTTATAAACATGGATTTACAATAATATAGGCTGAGTACCAGTATAAATTAATTTCTTTCCTACTATATTATCAGTATATATCATGGCTCCTTATAAAGGAAAATTCTAATAAATGATCATTAGTAATTTTAAAAAGTATTACTTTTACTTTCCTGGACTCTATTTAACTTGAAACAGTTTTATTTCCAAATAGAATTTACAGATAATACCAAAGTGTAGGTTTTGCACAGAGAAAGTGATTTGCTTGCTGTTATTTTCATATGAAAGAAACTAAGAGTGATTTTTTCAATGCCAACTATCACTCAATTTCAAAACAACTTCAACTCAGTTAAGCCCATCTCAGTTTCCTGCTAATAAAAATCAATGTCTGATAGCCTCATAGTCTTTACCCATGCCACCATCACCCCACCAGTATCACTAGTGTCATCCATCATTAAAATGAGGACTATAACATTGGGTTACTAGTGTCTTGCTCATGTGAAAAATCAGCCCTACTGAAAGAATGTTTCATGGTGATGACCTGGTGGTTTTAAAAATTATTATTATTTTTATTGGAGATGAGGTGAGAGCTAGAGAAAGTATGCAGTTAAAAAAAAAAAAAAGGAAAGAAACCAAAGTTCTATTTTTGGCTTTTCTGCCACTGACTCATCGTATTAACTTGAACCAGTCACCTATCCACACAAGAGGCACAGTGAAAAGAGGAGAAAGCGAGAAAATGCTTCAGCTTCCCTATTTTAATGTTGTTGGAGACCTGCTGAGATCACTTATATAAATGTTTCTCTTTGAGCTCCCTGGAAGACAGGAACTTTATAAATATTTAGTGTTATTGTTCCACCTTAGGCACAAGTAGACAAAAAATGATGATACTCCCATATTTACGTAAGAAGTAACTTACTTCAGACAATCCTAGTTCATTTATACCAGGCAACTTTGCATTGGCTTGTTCCTGTCCCTTGGGCTTTCTTTTCTGCCCTTCCTCCCCTTACAGTGGACGACTATGGAAACGTAAATAAACAAGGGAGCAGCTCAGCAAGGGTGCAGTCACACAGGTTGGTCCCAAGCTGTGTATCAGAATGGGTGAAGATTCAAAATAAACATTACGTTTAAAATTCCCAATTGAAAAGAGTGAGAAAATGATTCATTTTAAGAATGAGTAATTTGGTTGAGTGTTCTGACCTGAAATAAAACCTCACTGAATATCTAGTTGTGCCTGCTCTGTTTCTTTTTTGGATACACGTGGAGAGAAGAAATCTTAAAAAAAAAAAAAATACTGTAACTGGCATGTTTAGAGTCACTCTGTTTGTTTCAAGTGGAGTCTTAGAAGATTAATTCACCTGCACATTCTTGTCCAACAAGCTGTTTCTTCAAGGTTTTAATGGAACTAGGTTCTGGAATGATGTATTCAGAACAGAACACACACAGAGTTATTATTGGGTTGTGAAATTTCAGATTTTTTTTTTTTTTTTAGTTTACTTTTTTTTTTAATTTCCCGAACTTTTTCTTTAAATACAAAGACATGGTTTAAAAAAGTAAATTTAAAACTTACCACTGATTTCACTCTTCTCTCTGCCATACACCCCAAGCTCTTAATGGATCTATGCTTTTTCCTGCTTTCCTTACAGATGTAAGACAAGCAGTTATATAATAACTTGACTTGGGGTGGTGAGCACACAATACAATATACAGATGATGTATTATAGAATTGTAAACCTGTATAATTTTATTAACCAATGTCACCCCAATGAATTCAATAAAATAAAAACAAGAATTACAAAAACAATTATTTCCAAATTGGGAAACCGAGACCTCTATGCAACTGAGTGAGGGGTTGGTTTTGATCTAGGGAAGTCTGGCAGCTTATGAAGCACACTTACATAAAATTTTCTCTTTTGTTTTCATTTACTGTGTTAATTCAAACCAAAGAAGAGTAGGTCTCTTGAGTATGAATTATGCTAATAATATTCTGTTTGTTGACCAATTCTTAAAATGATTATATAATTTTAATATTTTTTGAACACTCAGGGTGTTTTAGATGCAATGCCAGTCATAGACCATCAAAAGACAACCCCTTCATACTCAACGACCTGATCTTACTTAAAGAAAGAATGAAAACCATTATGACTTTCTCTTTTGTATATTTATGTATCATCTTCTTTCTTATTTTTGCCTCAGATGTATGCAGAGAAGAATATTTAATCGTATCTGGGGGCCAAGCTTTCTGTCGAAAACCCTCCTCTCCCAGGAGGATCAGGAAATGCAACTATGTATAAGCCCCTCAAGCATGCCGGTCCATATTCTTGGCAATGGGGTTCAAACAAGGAACCAGCAGCTGTTCCTGACCTAAAGAGGCTGCTGGAGACAAACGAGCACCCAGACAGACACTGAAGTAGGGGTGCTATCATCAGGTCTGCACAGACCATTCCACAGGCACCGCCACGAAGGGTGGGAAGGAGGACAGGGAGAAAAGGCAATCTGGGGAGAGGGGCAATCTGAAAAGGTGCAGTGATGTGAATGAAACAGCAGGATTCTCCTTCGAGAATTCTCCAGGTCCTTGTCTTATGTCTAGAGGGCAGTGTCATTCACCCACTGACCTCTAGGGTGATGGAAGGTGAAACTAGAACAGTAAACAAGGGAGATTCTAGAATTTGGGATTTGTATAGCAAACCCCAGGAAGCAGGTATAGCCATGTTTCCAGGCTCCTCTGTGCTAAGAATAAAAGTAGGGTCACAAAACAGGAAGTTTGCCTTTGATCACTCTAGAGTAACTTAACTCCCCTGAAATCCTGCCCCTGTGGTAAGTGGGCCTTACATGGTGCCATGAACCATTCTTCGTGGCCTGCATATTCACCATTCATTTCCCTCTCTATATTCTCCACTTCATGGCCAGAGCCAGCAGTACTAGCCAAGCCCCTGGTTTTGTAGACACTCAGTTCTCAGGTTGTAGCTCTTAGGTTGCTGCAATTGATGCTCTGCCCTGTCTGCCCTGTGGGCCCTGTGGTTGCTGATAGTTCATACTTTCAATGCTTCAGTTCTTTTAAGGCTTCCCAGACGTTTATTTCTTGCCTTTCCCCAAGGTTTCAACATCAGTCTTTCCTGACGTTGGCCTGTGGTCATTGGCTAAAGCTGTGGACCCAAAGCCCTCTCTTCTTGGGATGAGTCCCTTCCTAGGTAGCCCCTCGATCTCCCTGCTAAGCAACCACTTGATGGTTGCCTTCCAGACTCAGTCAGATATGCCTGAACCTTCGGGAGAACACAGTTTTGATGCATACTGGTAACTATAGAAAAGTTATGGGGAAAGAAATGAAAAGAGAAGGCAGGAGCAAGAAAAAGCAGGCTGACATATGTCTTGAAGAGAGAGAATAAGAAGCATAGGCGGCTTGTGTGGAGCCTCTGAATCCAGAGTAAATAATACATATTTGTAGTATTCTTCTTACCCAAATTTTTGGTTTATTCTCTCATATTATTTTTCTATTTTGTATTGCTCGTATTTTTGTAAGCCACTTTAGAACTACTTTTTAAAACATGGCCGAGTATAAATAAATGAATAAATAAAGGTAATTTGCAGTTGCCATGTTGAGTAATTAGCCTTGTGAAGACTGAAGTGATGAGGTCAAAAGTAGAGGCAAAACACTTTTTGATAAACATGGCTATGGCCAGAACTTGAAATAGCAGGAAAAAAAGGATTGCAAATGAAAATCTAATTGCAAATGAAAATCTAATTGCGAATGGTGCTTTAATCCTAACTAACCTACTCTGCTGATGGCAAAGCAGTTAGGCAGAATTGTCCCCTCAAAACCAAACCCAGGAGGAAGGCAAGTATCAGGATGCTGAGTCCCGAGGTCAAGAACAAGACTTCCCCAGACTTGGGGCCCCCGCAGAGCGAAAGGGTGACAGAAATGCGCTGGAGGTGAGCTGTGTCCCACCACCGGGTAGGGTCACCGCTGGGTACAATGGCTCTGGCAAATCAACAACAATGGATAGAAGGTCGTTGAACAGTTACCCTGGAAAGGACTTGCTCTCACTTTTCCTACACCAAACCCACACTCAACTCCTCCTCTCCTTGGCCAGGATAAACTTGCCCTCTCCTCAAGTCTTCTCTCCGCAGGGATCCCGCGGCCCCACTGGCCCAGCAAGTGCCCACGCCCTCCCCCACGAGCGCTCTCCCTCCTCCTTCCCCTCTGCCTCCTTACTCTCCTTCCAGGACGCCCTGCGCTTCCCTTCCCACTAATCCAGACCGCAGGGACCCACTTGGGGGTGCAGGACGGCAGGTGACTGGGTGGCCAGGGCGGGACCGAGGGAGAGTCGGCAGAGCTAGGCCGACGGCTGGGGCGGGAGAGCGGGTCCTGCCCCTCCCTGCGGGCGGAGAGCGGCGTGTGGAGGGGCGGTCCCAGCTCCCAGCTCCCAGCTCCCAGGCTCGGCTCCCAGGCTCCGGCTCCCGCCGCCACCCCTGTGCCTCCTCCTGGCCCCTCCAGTCGGCAGGAGCCCAGGTGCCTGCGGGTCAGGAGGCGCCGAGGATGTGCCGCTGGTTGCTGCTGCTGCTGTGGGCGCTGCTCGCCGGCTCGGCGGCGGGGGGCTCGGGCCAGACCTACCCACACCGCACCCTCCTCGACGCGGAGGGCAAGTACTGGCTGAGCTGGGGTCGGCGGGACGACCGGCTCGCCTTTCGCCTCGAGGTGCGCACCGCCGGCTACGTGGGCTTAGGCTTCTCGCCCACTGGGGGCATGGCTGCAGCCGACATCGTCGTGGGCGGGGTGGCCCAGGGCCGACCCTACCTCCAGGTAAGCGCATCCCCTCGGGGAGCCCGCTCCGGCCGCTGAGTCCAGTCCCGTCCTGACCCGGAGCAGGCGCGGGTGCAGGGCCACCCTGGCCGCCGCTGGCTCTCTGGCCAGACTGGAGCCGTCGCTCCGCGCAGCCCCCGGCACACGCTCCTGGTTGCGATCCGCTCCTGCACCCCTGGAGCCCGAGGAGCCGGTGGAGCTCGCCTCCCGCTCCCGCCTCCGTGGCCCCACTCCGAGTTTTCGCCCCGGGAAACTGAGCACGGGCGACTGCAGGCCGTTTTCCGCCCCACCTAACAGACCTCGTACACACCTGCTGCGCATCCCCCTCCGGTCCTGGTGGGAAAGGAGAGGGACCCCAGCTTTGGGGACCTAACGACTGCCCTCAGGGTTGGAGGGGCCAGAGAGTTTTAGGCACTTTGCTGACTTGGTGCCTAGGGTCGGGGTCTCTGACAGAGCTTCCCAAATCAAGGCTACTTGGGAACCACCGGTCTCGGGTGTCAGCTACTTCAGACAGATGAAAGTCTCCAAGAATCATTTAAGATATATACTATTCTGAGAGTCACTTAAGAAACCACATTTAAAGATCTGCAAAACCTAGAGCCCCAGGCAAAATCCCCTACTGAATGGCAAAACTGTTCACTTAATTTAATAGCTAACAAAGCTCGTTTGACAGCTGGCGATTTGTTTAGAAAGAGCCCAAGTAGAGATGTTGTCTACTCATAGACGTCTTTATGGATAGGAGAAAAGGATCCTGAGATGACCAGAGTGATTAGGTAAAGTTCTCTGGACATCTTTGTTTATTTGATCGTGACCAACATTTACACACTTTTCCGCGATGGCATAACAATGTCCTGAATACACACCCGTTGTTACTTATCAAAATTCATCCATAAATACTGCCCTTTGAAACTAAAAGTCCCTTGATTCTGATGAAAACTCCTGTTGGGTTTGGCGTTGTGTTAGTCATTGATGCTGTTAAGTCAATGTACCCCATAGATTCCAAAATGCACTTCTCAGTAATTTTATTCTTGGCTTTTAAGTTTGATTTCTACAATGTTCTGATTGACATGCCATAAATGTGAACACTAATTCTGGCACTGGTTACTCACGTTGGCCAGAAATAAAGAAAATGGCAGCAATTAAAACTTCAAAACCACTCTCTTCTCTAATTTTTTCCCCATAAATGAATTCTTCCCTCCCAAACTAAGTATTCTACAACTCCAATAAAATAAAGTTTTATGAGGATTATATATACTCTGTTGAAGTCATTGGTGTATAAATTTTTCTCTGCTACAGCATCTCAAACATTAAATTTGTAAACCACGAATTTGATCCCAAACACAGGTCTCACTAGATAAATAATTTAACTCTCTTGTGATATGAAGTAGACCATACCTTATATAAATATCTATTTGAGCCAAATCTTTTTGTTGTTTTGGTTTTTTTTGCTTGTTCCTTGGGGAAGGGGGCAATATGCCCCTTAACTCTCCTTGCATGTTTTGTTGAAGGGGACCTGGGAAATCTTACCAAAATAATATCATAAAACAGGGTATACTATCAAAGATAACTTGACATTGTTTTCCCCAAAAGAGTAGCATTTCTAGAAAACCCACTCAATATGATATTAAATGAAAAGCCAAGAGTAGAATCCTGTTTCAACATGCCATAGACATACTCTTTGATAAACTAAAAAGTGTTTTCACACTGCTGGTGGTTCTTTATAAAGATTGCATAAGAATTAATTAAGTGCTATTAGGTTGATTTTGAACCACAGAACTTAAAAAAAAGTAATTAGTAAATACATATCGCTATAAGATAAACCTTAAACTAAACACTTTCCCAATTTATTTAATGAGCAAGAAATAGGATTTTCCTCTCCATTTTCATTCCTAAGGAAAAATCTTTATTTTCATGTATAAAGATAATCATATTCTTAGTTGCCTGACATTCTCTACTATTTCATTTCCTTAAACATCCTAATCACTTTAGGACATTAGGTTACAATAAAATTATGCTAGTCAATTAAGTTCAAAGACAATTTATTAAAAACCTCTAATAAAACTAAAGCCACTAAAGACTAAAATACAAAGAATGTATCAGTTCCAGCTTGTTCATCCGACCTGGGTGATTCCATTTTCCAACAGTTGACATTCAATCTTCTCCCTAGAAACTATTTGAGAGTCTTCATGCAATGGTGTGATAAGGGTATTCTATGCAAATATACGCAAAGGTAAATACTGTTCCCAATCATAGTACATGCGATTCCAGTAGTAGACTTTGAATTTTGTGTAATTTTACTTCCAGGGAGAACAAACTTTGTATGAAACAATGAAGCAAAAGCATTGGCTTCTGGGGCATCTTTGCATGTGCAGCAGCTACCGATAGTTGGAGATGGCATCAGGCTGTGTGATAACCTAAGCTGACATCCCAGTCACTTCTCCTTATGGCTTATTATTTAATTTCATCCTTTAAAAAAGTTTTAAGAAATGATTTTAGAGAGAGAGGAAGGGAGAGGAGAAGAGAAATATCAACGTAAGAGAAAAACATCAATCAGTTGCCTCCCCTACACATCCTGACCAGGGATTGAACCCGAAACTGGGATATGTGCCTGTCCAGGAATCGAACTGGCAACCTTTGGTGCATGGAATGATACTCAACCAACTGAGCCACACCAGCCAAGGCCATCCTTTCTTAATTAAGTTTTACAGATCTGACTTTCAGATTTTTTTTTATTGTTCTTTTATTATTCTGAATTTTATTTTTCTGATTATTTTAAACTCTTCTTTTCAATGGGATGTTAACTGCTGGATAACTATATAGGACCAAGTCTCAACCAGCCAGGTGGATAATTGTTGGCTAAATAGATGTCACAAACTCACATGCCTATAGAGGTCAGACAGCAAATCTAAAAGAGTGATAGGTTTTGAACGGAACAAGCAGAATATAATGCAACAGAGGGTAGAAGAGATGGAGGAAACCAGAGTTTTTGCAAGTGAATTACTTTTATGTGTGAATGCAGATAAAGTTTTGCCAGATCGTCTAGGTTTTTTTGTTTGTTTTTTGAGACAAGACAGAAATTTAATTGTGTGTGTGTGCAATAAAAACTTTTGACTGTTAAATACTGGCCACAATTCAAATTTGTACAAAGCACCTTGTAGTGCTCACATACGCACAGGGTTTCAGTTCAGTTAGATCTCGTGGACAACTTAATCTGGGACCAACAGGAAAAAAGCTAATGTTAATGAAGAATCAGCCCCAATCAAAAGAACCTATGAAAGGCAGAGAGATGGGTTCCATTTCTTTTCAGGCCAGGTTTATTCTGTTCCAGGAACATTCTGTCCAATGTCAGAGGGGATCTTGCCTATTGTTTGGATTGTTTATTGTTGTGTAGCAAACCACCTCAAAATATAGTGTCTTCATCCAAGGATAAGCATTTACTTTGCTCACAAATCTACAGTTTGAACAGGGCTTAGTGGGGACATCTTTTCTGCTCCACCTGGTATCAACTCCAAGTGAGTGGTTGGAGTCATCTGAAAGCTTGGTTCACTTGCTTGCTTGACTGGTGGTTGATGTTGGCTGTTGTGTGGGGCCTTAGGTGATACTGTGGTGGGAATGTGTCCTCTGCATGTGGCTTCTGGGCTTCTTCACAGCAGAGTGGATGGATCTCAAGAGTGAATATCCAGAGAGGCCCCTGTGGAAACTGTACAGCCTTTCCAACTTAGCCTTTGAGTCATGTAGTATCTCTCCTGCTGTGGTCTTAGTCCCATCCGAGTCAAGAGGAAACACAGACTCCACCTCAACATCATATTGTAAGGAGGTCACATGGGAATGAAATATATTAGCGTGGCCATCTTTGGAGAAAAACATTGTACCATACCCATCTTACAGACTTGCCACCGTCTCATGAACTTTTGATTACCTGTCTACATGCATCCACTCTCTCTTGACACTGACGAGATCTGGAGACAGTGTTTATTTATTCATCTTTCCTTTTCCTTTCTCTCTCACACACACTTACACACACACACACTAATCCACTACTATAAGAAGTTAGTGAATGGTTGATAATTTTTCAATTGTTGTCCTGTTCCATGCTCCCTCCACTCCTTCTCCCTCCTCCTCACTTCCCACAATGAGTTCTGAACTTCCACAACCCGCATTGTTCAATGGTTGCCAATCACCCAACGTGACTACCTCCAGAGGGCAGTGTGACATTTGCTTGTAGGTCAGTGGAGTCAAAACCCAGATTTAGTAAGTCCCTTGAAGGGCAACAGAGTTATTATATCCAGTGAGGAAGCATTGGGAGAATTTGCCCTGCCCACTTTGTAACCCTCTGGCCCTGTCTGGAGATGTTTCCTGAAATGGGGTAGAACCAGGTACTATCAAAATGGGAAAGAAAAGAGAGAGAGAAATGTGGTTGCGAAGTGAAACCTGTCTCAGTGTGCTCTACCAGAGAAATTGTCCTGGTGTTGTGGCGTGACAGAGTCAAAGAAAGACCACTAAACAATTGAAGTCCAAGTAAGAGCTGTTTATTAGCCGGCTGGTGTCTGATTCCAAACACCCCTGTGACAGAGTCTTCAGAGATCAGCCCCGATCTTCTTTCGTACACCTTTTAAAACTTAAAACCACATTCTGGTACGCATTGGGCATAGCAAGCAAGCACGTACAGAAGTGAAAATATGCAGTTAGGCAGTTGACTAACCTGGGAACCTGACATTTCTTGGTCCAGTGCCTGGAGACCTGACATTTCTTGGTCCAGTGTCTGAGAACCTGACATTTCTTGGACAGGGGGTATTCCAATTTACTAAGGTTATTTTGATCTCTATCCTGTTAATTAAATTCCTTACAAAACAGGTTTGGCTAGAGGGCATACAGTGATTTTACCAATCATCAATATGTCAGCACATTTCCCACTGGTTTTTTTGGAGGAATCAATCATTGTTTCCTCATCATTTTCAGTACAGATATGCTGATAATGGGTCCACAAGACCATAAGTTTC